GTAAGTCAGAAAAATCTAGAAAAGAAGTTGGGCCTGGTTCACATGTCCATTCCTGGGTCCATCGCTATGGCTAGGGGGAGAGGGGCACTCTGATTCAGCCTAGGTTTATGCCTATTTCAGAGTGGTGGGGGGTGGGGGAAGTATATTTTGTTACCAGAAGTGAGGAGGAGGTATGTTGGGGAAATAGCAGCAATTACCAGCTCAAGGAAAGGGAACTTGATCATTTAAGTTAATGCTGTAGTGAATCCCTTATTTTTTGCATTGCTTAAAGCCAGAGCTCTTATTTTCCATTTGTGGCTTTCTGATTTTTTCAGAAACATTGAAAAAAATTATTTGTTACTTAATATATCTCCTTTCTATTTATATTGCATCTTTAGATGAATTATCTGTTGTATAGCATCTTAGTGGAGAGGAAGGGACTTATACTTGGCCAGTTGGGCAAGTTCTGTTCCAGAATTTGAACTGCAAAGTAAGTGATAGAAGAATATGTGGCAACATTTGAAGGACAGACGGTTCGTTGGTATGTCCTTGCTGGTGATTCTGGTCAATTATTTTAGCCTGGTTGTGGTGTTGATTCAATGAGTCTCATACCTTCCCAGGAAAGTCTCTTTTTGCTAATAATGGCCAGAATCAGAACTTGGGTGCCTGGTATGGTATTACTAGTCACACGGAACTATTTAAATCTAATTTTAAATTAATAAAAATTTAAAAAAATTAAAAATTTAGTTCTTCAGTTGTAGTATTTGAAATGTGCACTATTTGAAATAGCTACATGTAGCTAGCTAGTGGCTATTATATTGGGTGTACAAATTATAGAACATTTCCCTCATTAAAAAAACTTAATCACATAGTACCATTGGACTGTAAATTCCTTAAGGATAGGAATTCTGTTTTTGTTATTCTCTGGTATATCTGTAACACTTAGGACTAGGCTTAGCATTTGTAGGTAGTCAGTAAATATTTGTTGAATGTTGAAATGACACATATGAGCTGCCTGCCACAGAAAACCTAGGCAATAATCATCATAATTAGCTACCTGTACTGTGAAGAGAACTTGGAATGACTCCATCTCACTGTTATTCCTATTGTTTCTGTTTAAACTTTTCTGTAGTTCCATTCTCTGTTGTATCTTGGCCCTCTGGTCTATCAACTATTTCTTCTTCCATTATTTCCGTAATTACTTTAAAAATATGAAGTACTTGATCTCATAGTTTCTCATTTGGCAACTTCTTCATCCTTCACCTTTTGATTTCTCCTCATGGCCAACCCATTAAACCTATCTTTTCAACAATATTTGCTGATTCTCTGAAATCTCTATTCCATTACCAATAATTTTTTTTGCAATCTCCACATTTTAAAAAAATATACCCTCACTGAAACCTGACCTGGTCCTGGCAACCCTTTTAAGTGGAATTAGTCTTCCTTCCTCTTTCCTGCAACTAGGGACCAAGAAGGAAATCTGTGTTTATGAACCCCACTTTTGCTTCTAGACAATTGATTGACTAACTTGGGTTAAAATGGTTTTGCTTTTGATACTCATTGCATCCATCTTATTCCTGTTTTCTTCTCTGTCATTGACTAACCTACAAGATGTTCCCCAACAGTCGCTGAAGACCTTGACTTCTGGCTCAATTTGTTTTTATTTTCTATCCTTTGTCATTGTTCTTTGTGACTGCACCATTCGTATTGTTGACCCATCTAACACCTTAGCCTTACAGTTTATCTTCTCTCTGGTACTCTTTATCCTTATCCCACTTTAGCAGACCCTACACTTAGCCATTTCTTGGACTTTTGTCATCCCTTAGAACTGATCATTTCAAAGACATAAATTTTTTTCTCTTATCCCCTTCAATCTCACTGAAGACACTGCAGTTTGATATTCAAATTGATATTGAAACTAGTTCTTGTACTTTTTTCTTCTTCCAGTCTCTTAGCCTGGCTCCCTTGCTTCCCATTCAGCTTGGAATCTATTTGTCCGCTATTCACTTGTACCTGAGCAAAAGCTCCTGGATGTAAATTCTCTTAACTTCTCACTGAGAATTTCTGTATCCTCATCCATTCTCTCCTCCCTTTCTATTTTAATGAAGATATCCACTCTCCCTTTACTTCTCAAGAGTTCTGAATCCCATCCCTTTTGTTTCTCTGGAGTCTTACTTCATTATCTTATTCATCTGTGTCTAATTTCTTTACCCTGGACTCTTATTTTGCCTTCAAGGTCCAGCTCAAATTGCATTTGTCTTATGTAGCCTTTACTGATAGCTTTTTTTTTTTTTTTTTTTGAGAGAGAGAGAGAGAGAGAGGAGTGGGGGAGAGGGAGAGAGTGAATCTTAAGCAGGCTCCACAGGGCTCAATCTCAGAACCCTGAGATCATGACCTGAGCTGAAATCAAGAGTCAGAGGCTTAACCAACTGAACTACCCAGGTGCCCCTGCCTTTACTGATATCCTAATGAAAGTTAGTTAATTGCACTTTATTCTGTTCTTTTTAGTTCTATTTTAAGACTTGCTTTCTTTTGATTTGTTGTGACATACCTTAAATATTCAAAACCTTCTCACCAAAAGAGATACTATATTTTATTCCTAAGTGCAGCATTGCCTTTTGAAGTAATTTGTTCTGAACACTTTTGTTACTGAGATTAAGACCATTGAATTTATTCCTAAACGCTAATCAGTTCTGTTAATTTTTATTTATGTTAAATTCCACTATCCCTTATAATCCTAACTGTAATGATCTCAAATCATGGACTAATTTTCTTTTTAAAAAACCCATCATATCAGTTGTAGATTCTGACCCTGCTTTAGTGAAGTGAACTGAAGAAAACTTTGTATGTCCTCTTTTAATAGTCTACCATAATGGTATTCTTACTCCTTTCGTATTTTAATGAAAGTCAAATACTCTTTATCATTGGTTTCTTTAGCTTCAGTTTTTATTTGTAGGGCATTGTTTCCTTTCTTATCTATATAACTTATTTAGAAAACATTTAGGCCACATTGCTTTCTTAACAGGATTTTGTTTCTTATTGATTTACCGGATGTATCCAAAATCTTGACCAGAGCTAAGATTTACTTGGGGCCTAACTTTCTAACTCTGGCCCTGAGCTGGGACCCACAGTATTTTCTCCTCTGTTTGTATCGTCATGATTGTAGAAAGAAACCTTTATTAACTCCATAATCTGAAAGCACCAAATTAATAACATCTATAAACATTTAAGGATGAAATGCACAGAAAGTTTGAGAGAGTAATAATGTAGTTGGAATTATGAAATAAGGGTATGACTGGTACTGTTAAAGGAGCCAAGTAAAAGCAAGACCGTCCCTTTTTCTTTAGATCCATTGTTTCTGGCATTTGTATGTAAGTATCTCAGGAAGCATTGGGTCTTTGGTTTCTGCCATGTCATATTGTCTAGTCACCTTACACATTTAAATGTCTAACCCAGGATTTGGGTTGGGTCATTCAGTCCATCTACAAATATTTATTGAATACTTATTAGTGTTTAAAGCACAGCCCTAGGCTCTTGAGACTGTTGTCTTTCCAATAAGCAGTTCTAACTGGATTGATAAGACATGCTAATAATGCCAAACTATATATACTAAATGCCAAATGACTTGTATTTCAGATAAGTGTTTAAAGAATTTTAAAAAGGGAGAGGTTAAGGGCATATCCTATCACATATTGGCATATCCTATTAGCTTAAAGTCTTTCACATGTGGTTAGTCATTTGGTTACCAGAGATACTCTACATTTTAAGGTTCTGGTTGAAAATGTATCATTCCTTTTGAAAAGGACATACATTATATAAACATTCATCTCAGGGATGAAAGCTCATATTTTATAAAATATACTATTGTGTCTTATACTAGATAGTTTTCTTGTAAATTTTGAACTTAAAATCATTAAAATTGCTGCATAATGAAATGGGAAAGGAACACTTACTTGGGTTAGAAGACCCAAGTTGGTTGGTTGGTAGCCAATATGATTTGGGCCTGAGCCTTAATCTCTTTATTTATAAAATTGAAATGACTCTGCTTACTTTCCTAGAATTACTGTGAGAAATTACTATAGTTAAAAATGACCTTGGGGTGACTGGGTGGCTCAGTCGGTTAAGCATCTGCCTTTAGCTCAGGTCATGATCTCGGGGTCCTTGGATTGAGCCCCAAGTCGGGCTCCATGCTCAGCGGGGAGCCAGCTTCTTCCTCTCTCTCTGTGCTCTCTCTCTCTCGCGGCTGTCTCTCAAATAAATAAATAAAATTTTTAAAAAATGATCAGCCTTAATTAAATGCCTGTTTTACTATAGCTATATCAGAGTGGGCATTAAAGATACACTGAAGAGGGACGCCTGGGTGGCTCAGTCGATTAAGCGTCTACCTTTGGCTCAGGTCATGATCCCAGGGTCCTGGGATCGAGTCCCACATCAGGCTCTCTGCTCCGTGGGAAGCCTGCTTCTCCATCTGCCTCTGTCTCTGATGAATAAATAAATAAAATCTTTTAAAACAAAACAAAACAAAAGATACACTGAGGAGCTCCATAATCTTGTGGGGAGCAAATGAGTAGCAGTGTGTCTGAAAGCTATGAAATATTGTATGGTGATAAAGATGGCTTCTCCCACACTGGACAACTTTCTGAGGCCTTAGCAACACATTGTTCACTCTTCCACCAAAGGCCATCTGTTCAGGTTGTTCCCTGTGTTTATCAAAATCTTACTCATCAGATTTATATCTCCATGTAAACAGTCTCTCGTCTTCTTAGACATACTTGATTTCTCATCTTCTCTATGCCAGTAGTTTGTAGATTTTTCCATAGCAAAAGCAGAAATTTGTTACATCTTAGTTATATGTGAACACACTTAACTGCCTGAAATCAAAATATTTTATCGTTTTATCTGCCACTTTGCAAGCACAATGTCTGGTGTCAATATGGGTACCCTAATATGATTATCTAATTCTTTGAAATATATGAACTATGGATTCTTAATAATATTTTTTGTTGGGTTGTGATATTTAGGTTAAAACTTCAACAACAAATTGTGAATATTGAAAATGCAGAGAAAGAAAAAAATGAAAATTCTGACCTGAAACAGGTACGATTTTAGCAAACATTTTGCTTTTATTTCTTTAAGTGCTTCTTTAAATCTGTATTTTGAATGTGTTTTTTTATTTTTTTTTATTGAAGTCTAATTAACATACAGTGTTATATTAGATTGAGGTGTACAATGTAATCATTACAACAATTCTATACATTACTCAGTGCTCATCATGAGAAGTATACTTTTTTTTTTTTTTCCCCCATCACGGTAACTATACTCAATCCCCTTTATCTGTTTCACCAGTTTGTTCTCTGTATTGAAGGGTCTGGTTTTTTGTCTCTTTTTTTCTTCATTTGTTTTGTTTTATTTCTTCAATTCCACATATGAGTGAAATCATATGGTATTTGTCTTTGTCTGTGTGACTTATTTCACTTAGCATTATACCCCCTAGATCCATCCATGTTTTTGCAAATGGCAAGATTTTTATTCTCTTTTAGGGCTGAGTAATATTCTATTGTATGTATATACCACCTCTTCTGTATCAGTTAATCCGTGGATGGACACTTAGGTTGCTTGTGTGTGTGTGTGTATATGTGGAATCTATTGGCATTTCACATATCAGTATTTTGAAAATATAATCATTACAATTGATAATGTATTGATGAGGTTGATACAGATAAAATTTTTAAACCTCTTTAAGCTCTAGTTATTAAGCTGCTTTTCCTAACTGCTGTTTTTCTTAAGGTCTTTATATGCTGCGACCCACAATGAATTTTTTTAAATTGTAACTTAACAGTATTTTAATATTCTGATTTAAAAAATTGATTAGAAAGATCATCTAGGTTTTAAGTTCCATGTAGCATTGACTTGTAACTTTTTATTTCTTACTCCATGAGCTGCATCTTACTATATCCCTATGAAATGTGAAATCTAAGGGTGGTATTTATGGAAGGAAATATATATTTAAAGAGTTATTTGGGTTTAAGAAAAATTTATATGGGCAAAACATGGAAGAGTGTTCTTTCCTTGATTCTATTTTCTTTTTTGTTTAAAGTTATGAGGTAGTGAAGATTCCATTTTTAGGATTTATCTTGCAAGCTAGCTGGCATTGCTTTGCATATGCAGTTGTGGTTTCTAAGTCTCAACTAGGAGGACATAATGTTTGATACTCTGAGAGAAGTTATTTAGTACCATGTGCATTGGGCTTTCTGTCATTTATTAGATAACAAGAGATATTAAGCTCCTTGAAAGTTGCTTGTTTAGTCAACTGTAATACAGATTTAATATTTACAACTCCAGTTAAAAATGAAGACTGACTTGTTCTTAATGGAGGAATTTATTCTGAAGTACAAATCTGAGACATACCATTTTACTTTATTCTGACAATTGTCTTATTGGCTTCGCTGCCATCAGGAAATACTGGAATTATTTTGCATTTATTTAATTTATTGAATAAAGAATCTGGTTTCTTTCGACTCTTGAGTCTCATAATGGGTTCTTTTGGTCCTGTGTCTCTTGATTCTCTCCTTCCACCTTTTCTCAGAGAATGGCTAAGAGGTAAGACAAGGTGAAAGAAAATGAGTATTTGCTGGGGCACCTGGTGGCTCAGTCAGTTAAGCATCTCTCTTCAGCTCAGATTATGATCCCAGGTCCTAAGACTGAGCCCCGCATCGGGCTTCTTCCTCGGCTGGAAGTCTGCTTCTGCTTCTCCCTCTGCCTCCCCCCGCCCCCACTTGTGTGCTCTCTCTCTCAAATAAATGAATAAAATCTTAAAAAAAATAGAAAATGAGTATTTGTTAATTAATTGGTAAAATGGCTTATGGAGGAAGTAGGTATAACTGTGCTCCAAGTGAAGATTATTTGGATGGAACTTAAAAGCCTGTTAATTTGTAACTAGATAATTAGCTACTTTTCATGAGAAAAATTACTCCCAGATAAAGGTAAATTAGGATGGAGAAAAAACCCGAGTGACATTTCATGGTTTGATAAATGGCTCTACGGGCCAAGGAATCCTTGCCATTCTTTAAGTTTCTTAGAATATCTTTCTTCTGCCCAATGCCGGGTGTATGGAATGCTTTGAAACTACTTAAAAACAATGTAAGAGCGATCCCTTCTGTATTTATGATTCCTAACTATTTAGAAAGCAGAACTCCTGGAAGGGTTGCTGATCATAGGGTATCTGGAAATGGGAGAATGGATTTCCTTAGCAGCTTTCCCAGCTGATGTGCTTTTAAAATCTGTTCTTTCCTAGGAGGCTATAGGAAGTTCAATGGAGAATCTCTCTAATGTTTAGATTCTCCTTTCACACTTCTCTCCTCCTTCTTATAACCCTTTTCCTACTCCCAATACCTCTTCTGACCTGCTTATTTTGGGAAGAAGTGGAGAGGACTTAGTGGCAGACTAAGGAATCTGGTTCTTGATAGTCTCTGGTTATATTAGGAAATGATATATATATATATATATATATATATATATAGGAAATCCTATACTATTGGATCCCATGCTGCTGCTGTTTACTATTTAATTTCAGAGTGTCCTCAAGGACACATCAGTTGGGTGGGACATTTGTGAAGGAAGATGCTTACTATCTTCTTCCTTTCTCATATGGTATTACTATGCAGCCTTATGTTTCTCTTTCCTTTCTTTTAAGCAAATCAGTAGTTTGCAGATCCAAGTGACCTCGCTTGCACAGTCAGAGAATGAGTTGCTGAATTCAAACCAAATGCTGAAGGAAATGGTGGAGAGGTTAAAACAAGAATGCCGAAATTTAAGAAGCCAAGCTGAAAAAGCACAACTAGAAGTTGAAAGGTAGAGTTTGCTCTTTTTTATATACAAACTACTTCTTCTTTCTGCTATATTATATGTAGGTCTTCTAGTGATGATTCCAATATTGAATGTGTTCTGGGAACTAGTTACAAATACCCTTTGACAGTGTACAATGGTATTAGGTAATGTACTTTGTTTCTAGAGAATGAGCTTTATGGACTCTTGAATTTTTGTTTTTTAAGGCATTTAGGGCAGAAGACTTTTTAAAATTCTGCCTAACCACAATATTCTGAAAACCCTCAGAGAAACACTTCTTTATTCATTGAGTAAACCAATACATTAATATATTTTTTACTTTAAATATCTGAATTATTTTTCTGAACGCCAGAGAACAGAAAAAAAAAATTCTGTGACTTGCAAAACTCCCTAAAATTAGAACTATAATCTCTTGGATTTTTACTTTGAATAGTTCATTTATTTGTTTATTTTTTGGCCTCGAAATTTGTTAGTAGGAGACAGTGTATAGTAAACTGGCAAGGAGGTGATTTTTGTGATATTCAAGCGCTTATAGTCTCTGGAAAATTTTGTTTAGGTATGATAGAAAGCTGCTTTTTTGTATTTGCTTTGTCTTGATAACATGTTAGTAGTTTTTTTTGTTTCTACAAAACATTATTCTTTTTGGATTTTCTCTTCTGAAGGTTACTTTGCCACATAAAACTTTTTTTCCTTTAGTTTCTCATTATTTCATATTTTAAGGCTTTCCATAGTTTCACACATGCAAATTTTAAGAAAAGAAAGTAAGCAAGATGTTTGTCCATAGTACATTGTGACATTCCACAGGGTCCAAATTATTTTGCAAAAAATAGAAATTTATATCTTGGAATCCCCAAGTGTTTGATTAAAATGCACTTAAGAATTGTAATGACAGTATACCTAGCAAATTTAAATCATTTGTCATTGGTTTCTGAATGTTACTCATAGGATTATATAGTAGAAAATAGCTGGATGAAGTGTTAATCAAATATGATTTTTGTCCCAGCTAAAACATTTAAAGTATTGTATGACCTTAGACACAAGATCTGATATCTCATTTTATAAATCTCATTTGTACTGCCATATTATAGGTAGTAATGATACTAAAAATTATGCAAGGTATGCAGAAGAACTTTAAATATAGAAGTTGTTATACTATCTTAAAATACCATTTATATGAATTTTATTCTATTCAGAAAACGTCCTGCGTTGGTTTTTCAATCCTGGGTTGATTTTTAGCCAGTTTTATTAGACCCAGTTGGTTTTGTTTTTTTTTTTTTTTATGTTTCAAGTTTTTATTTAAATTCTGGTTAGTTGACATATAGTTTTAGTTTCAGGAGTAGAGTTTAGTGATTTATCACTTAGATATAACACCCAGTGCTCATCACAAGTGCCCTTCTTAATACCCATCACCCATGCTAGATCCAATTTTTATAGCTTGGTGGTTATCATGGTTCAAAGCTGGTTATCAAGTGTTTGTCCTGCTGTTAATTAGGTGTAAGTCTTAAGCAGACTCCTCGTTGAGCAGAGAGCCCAACCTGGGGCTCTGTCCCAGGACCCTGAGATCATGACCTGAGCCGTAGCCAGACGCTTAATCCACTAAGCCACTCAGGCGCCCCCTAGGTGTAAGTGTTGAAGCAAATTTGTTAACTACTTTCTAGGCTTCAGTTTCCTTATCTATAAAATGGAAATGATAGAAGTACCTAACTCAAGGGGTTATTATGAAGAGTAAATGGCGTAGTATACACACTGTTTTCAGCACAGTGCTTGGTTCACAAGAGGTATTCAGTAATGAGAGAATTAGCAAATATGTGACCATGCAAGAGAAGCAGCAGTTGGATACTTAACGATGTAGTGAAGCAGGTAGTGAGTTTGATTATACTTGGGATAATATCTATTTAATCTTAAGAGTTAACTTCCATGTTTTGCATACATTCTTTTGACAGGACTTTGGAAGAGAAACAGATACAGTGGTTGGAAGAAAAGCATAAGCTTCAGGAACGTATCACTGACAGAGAAGAAAAGTATAATCAAGCTAAAGAAAAACTGCAGCGAGCTGCAATTGCCCAGAAAAAGGCAAGTGGTTCTTATTAAAGTGATTTCTATAGAGTAAAACATAATTAACTATTCTGGGAGAATAAAATGTAATTAAAACTGAGATTTTCGTGTATGTTTAATTTGATATTTAAACGTGACATTTTGCTGTCAACCTTGCAGAGATAAATTGGGAAAACGCAAACTGCTCAACAGGTTTATTTCTAAATTTCTTGTTCCAAGTTGGTTTTTCAGAGCCGAAATGCATTTTCCCCACAGTGTTTTTTCATTAATAAAGTTTCTGGACTAGCCCATATAAGTCTTATTTAACTCATTCTGCACTTAATAAGATTACAGGGCGATTGGGTCTGTTTTAGCTATGCTGAACTAATACTTGTTTGTAACATCCTTTTTGTGGTTAAAATGCTTTTTTGTTTCCAACTCAGAAATGTAGGAGCAAGTATCTCCTTGCCCCAGGAGAAAGTTGCCCCCCCCCACCCCGGCCTGGCTTCTGAAACAGCCGTTATAGTTACCACAGCTGTGATCTTTTTTAAGTTTCACTTTGCAAGCGTATTTGCTCCATAACCTAAAAACTTTGTTTTCTTGGAAATAGTTCAGAGCATCATGGAAATAATGTAATCAGATGATTCATCTAAGTCAGTGGTTTACAACTTCTTTTCTACTGCAGAAAACCCAAGGAATGTAGCATGGCCCCATCAATAACCATGACTCATGGTGCAGTGATTCAGCCCTTACTTTCAACAAGATTTGCTGCATGTGTATGGAGGTGGGGGGTGAGGAGTAGCATTAAAAAAATCCCATAAATGATGTAACATGCCCCCACTTGATAAGTTCCATTAGTAAGGGCATTTGTTTTGGGGAAGCAAGAAGGTCTGAGATGAGAGGAAGGCGCTTCTAGACATAGGCACACCAGTATCTTAATATTAGTCTGTATGTTTATTGGAAAGGTTAGCTCTTCATATTTGCATAAGAGAACTCTATATCATTTACATATTCTGAATTTGGAAACCAAAGACACAGTTCCTAGTCACCCATTTATGGTAACTGGATCTAACTGCCAAATGCATCCTGATAGTTGGAGTGACAGTAGGAGAAGTCTACAAGTCATTGTTTCCCCACTTTCTTGATTTCTGAATATTGCTTCTCTCTTCCCATAATGCTGGAGGTAGTATAACATTGAGATTAGAAAACAGCATTTACTATCTGGGACTCTCAGTGTTTTATACTCAGATACAGACACTGTCTTTGATTTTCCCCCTGTGTCTATCATTTCTTTTTCTTTCTGTCCATATAAGTACTGAGTACTTATGGATATTAATGGGATTTCAGTGAAGTGTTTTATGGCTTGGGATGATCTTAGAAATTTTACTTACGGTACCTTGTACTGTTTGAAGCCTAGAAGCATCTAAAGCCAGATTTTAGCCAAAAATCGGTAGAAATTATAAGAGCTGATTTTCTTTCACAGAGAAATGTTTGTGTTAAGGTTTTAGAGGTAAGTATTCTAGAGATCAGGGTGCCTGTGTGGCTCAGTTGGTTAAGCGTCTGCCTTCGGCTCAGGTCTTGATCCTGGAGTCCTGGGATTGAGTCTCACATCGGGCTCCCTACTCAGCAGGGAATCTGCTTCTCCCTCTGACCCTCTTCCCTCTTGTGCTCTCTATCTCTCATTCTCTCTCACACAAATAAATAAAATCTTTAAAAAAAAATTAAAAACAAAGTATTCTAGAGATCAGATTCTAATTACTACTGAGGTTAGTTTGGGTTGACTTCTTTTGGAGCAAAAGTGACATCCAGTGGTGAGAGAGATTACCAGCTAATCGTAGGTATACTAGAAAGAGGGGAAGAGCTGATAATTTAAGAAACCTGGCAAAATAACCTTTCATCAATATTGTGACCTGGGGTGAATTTTTTTTTTCTACTGAAATACCAGCCAAATGATGGGTGTGAACATAGGAAATATCCGTATCATTTTAAGAAGTGTGATCTGTGAGTTATGATTTTAAGTCATAGGAAATTGTTAAGTTCAATTCAGTGAATAATTATGACCCCGAGCTTATGGGACACTTCCTTAGAGGCTTACAACTTTAAAGTGGGAAAATAGACAATATATGTTACATAGAAATACTATAAAAAGTCTGTGAGTACATATAATTTTAGGGCTGGGGGATTTTAGCATTCGTTCTTACAGATTAGGAAACTGAAGTGGTAGGTAGCCAAGATTACTTGACTAGTAAGATTCAATGCCATAACTAAAATTTACATTTTTCTGTTCTTAATCCTGTGTTCTTTCTGTGCTTTTACTCTTTTAATTTCCCAATTTCTTTGATTCCAAATACCTAACAGCTTTTTTCTTCATTGTACCCATATAGGTCTTATTTCTCGTGGTAGAATAATCACTATAAAGTTAATTTCTTTAATTCAAACTCTTTCCCATTCAAGTTAAAGGTAATGCTTCTAAATGAAAATTTTGGCTGTAAGATTACACAAATAATTCTTAAGAGTGCAATAGACTTTTTAAGTTCTTTACATGACAAAAATCATCACTTTCTTATGCAGTAAGACTTAAAACAAGTCACAAAATATTAACTGTAGGGCAAAAATCATAATCCTTTAGTGTGTGATTCTTATAACTGGGGAGTAACAGCTTTATTTTTCCCCTGAGGCTAGAAAAGATGGCTTACTGCCATCTGAGTATGTTTATTTATGCACAAAGCTTATGTCATTTCTGATAAGTGTTTTTGGGTAAGGTCTTTGTGTAATGATATTTTGCTGTGTTGATTTGTTTGGAAAAACTTGACCAGGTATCTGGAGTTGGAATGCCTTTCTGTGACTGTTGGCTTCTGTGTATGTTTTTCTCTATACATTGTTGAAGTGTGAGTATGAAGAGAGATCTCTTGGTTTGAGCACAATGGGTTGTACTTTTCCTTTTGAGGCACTTGAGATGATAACTTGTTATTTATATTCTAAGGTATATTTCTCTGAAATTATTCTTGATTAGATTATTGTTATGAATGTTTTTGGGGAAAAAAAATGAACTGTAGTCTTGAAGTTGTAAAATATCTGTTGAATATGTTGTGTGGCCTAGCATTATATTCTACACGTAGGGGAAAATAGAAGCCATGATTAATTCCTGCTTTTGATGACCATATAATCTAGTTGGAGAAATAAGATACATGCAATACCTAAAGAATACTAATAGTCACTCTCAGGTGATCTGTTTGGCACTGAAGTTTGAGACCAGGTTCAGGGAGAAGAAAGCCTGAAGACAGGAAGACGAGTTAGGAAGCTATTTTAATACAATGAGGTAAGAAGTGTGGAATTTGGGCTTGTGATATAGGAATGAAGGTAAAACGTGACACTTTAGAATTATTTTAAAAGTTATAGGATGTGGTGCTAAATAAGAAGGAAGAAAAAATATCAAGTGTTTTAGTTGTGAGAGGATATAAATGGAGTTGTCATGATGGAGTGAAGAACACATGTCAGCTGAGGAGTAGAAAGGCAGGATAAGTTCCACCAAACACATGTCAGAACTGAGGTGAAGGCGGCACATCCCTGTACTCACATCCCAGCCTGTTAAGTGAGGGTACTATGTAAGTAACTAGAAATAGTGGAATGTAAAACATGGAGATCGGTAATTCAGATTAAAGATAAAGAATTAGACACTTGAGATTTTGGAGATGACTGAAGAATAAAAGTACTAAGAATTAAGTTGACTTAGAAAGAGGAACTAGATTTAGTAGAGGAATGGTCGTAGAGGTAGAAGCTATGGTATGGTGTTGTAAAAGTCACAGGAAAAGAAAGGTATCAAAGATAAATGGTCATTTAGCATGATTACTGAAAAGAGTTCATTGAATTTGGCAGTAAGGTGGTAAAAGAGGAATCCCAGGTTTGGTTCTTGTATTAGTGTTCTTTTGATTTTTCTATTGCTCCTTTGTGTTGTAATAATACTTGTAACACTAAGGCATCCACTTGACAATCCTGTGATTGTATTGGACCACTAAAATCAAAAGTAAAATCATTCCTTACAGTTTCCCCTCTGAACTCTCATTTCTTTCAGTAGAATGTCATTCTTCCTATCACGTACGCGTCAAACCTTTGATTCACCCCTCCCCCATATCTAGTCACTGTATTGGTTTCCAAGGGCTGCTGTAACAAATACTGCAAACTGTGTGGCTTAAAACATCAGAAAGGTGGGGCACCTGGGAGGCTCAGTCGTTAAGTGTCTGCCTTCGGCTCAGGTCATGATCCCAGGGTCCTGGGATCGAGCCCCACATCAGGCTCCCTGTTCGGCGGGAAGCCTCCTTCTCCCTCTCCCACTCCCCCTGCTTGTGTTCCCTCTCTCACTGTGTCTCTCTCTGTCAAATAAATAAATAAAATCTTTAAAAAAAACATCAGAAAGGTATTATTTCATAGTCCTGGAGGTCAGAAGTCCAAAATCAAGATGCCTGTAGGGCCGTGCTCCCTCCAAAGGCTGGATCTGTTCCACACTTCTCTCCTAGCCTCTGGTGGTTGCTAGCAATCCCTGAGTTTTCCTTGGCTTGTAGGCATATCATTTCATTCTGTCCCTCTGTCCTCATCTGGTGTTCTCCTTGTGTGTCTTGTGGAGTTTACGATAGTTGTAAAACATGAAAGATGTAAATCAAAGATGACAACTATTCATTGTTAGTCTATGAATAACAAAAGACACTCCTGTCACTCAGGAAATTCCAAGGATTTTAGGAACTCTCTGCTAGAAACCCAGGACAAAGACCAAATAAATTTCTTTCTATATCATGGTCACATTCTGAGGTTCCCAGTGGACATAAATATTTGGGAGACACTCCTCAACCCAGTACAGTCACTCGGGCCTCTGAATTCTTCCTTTATAATGTGTCTTGCATTTTTTCCCCTCACCTCATTTCCTTTTATTCCTGTTGCTAACATTGTATCCACTACCAGGTTTCTCTGTATTCATTTAGCCAATTTATTCAAGAAATTTATTGAGTACCTACTTCTGTATCCATCTGGTAGTTTCATTCACTGGA